TTGCCTGACATGACAAAATAAAAATAGACCTGGAGAGTGTCTAAAAAGAAGAAAATATGGCTTGAAGTTTCAAGCCAATATACATGAGAGGCCAGAAGGAGATATGTAATAAATCACAAAGCTAAATTTTCAGCCAGAACAAGAATGGAGTTCTGGAATGTGCCTTGAATTTAGGATTTCCCAAGAATGCTCCACTCCATGTATCAGGAAAAGACAGGGCCTTTTGTGGGCTGCACTCAAAGTTTTAGCTACCATCTGGGCTCAAGAAAGCTGTTTCACTTTGGGTTTGATTTATAAATAACACTGGGCACTTGAAGGGATAAAATTCCTCTGACACAAGAATTGATCATGTGTAAATTCAGATAAATTTGGTAGTTTAAGAATGAAAGAAGAGTCCCTTGATCTCAGTATGATTCTGTGTCCTCTATGTGTCCCCCAAATCAGTGTGCCTCTTGATGGGACCCTTGTTTTCCTCCCTGTGTTTAATTGATTAATTATAGTGTTGCAAAATGTCAAGTTTCAAGTGCTGTAAAAAGGAGAAAAGCCTCAGCTAGTGAAGTGTGTGCTAGACCCTGACATACTCCTCCATGATGCTAGCACAGCTGACTGTAATCCCAGCAATCCAGGGATGCCAGGGTATTCCTGCTCAGAAGTACATGCCTGTGATCTAGGGCACATCGTTATCTAGCCACCCCTGCCCTCTGGTCCAGATTCCTATCACTTGTGCCCGGTTCTTACAGTGATCAGCTTTTCTTTCCAATCTTATTATTTATTTATTGTTTCTTATCTTTCTAATCTTATTTTTTATCCAGGGTTTCTGTATTCATCTTAAATGGAGGGCTTGCTTCTTGTCCATGGTAACTGTTAATCCATGATTTTTAATGAGAGTTTTATTATCCTTTGTAATGACTCTTCCTTTTCCTGGAAGTCTGTCTGCATATTTCCCTGTCTTCTTAGCTCATTTGTGGAGGCAGTGCCAGCAAGCTAGATTTTGAGACGCTGCCTGTCCCCCTGCTGTTCGGTGATAATTTAGTCAGTATGCTTTAAGGACCGTGATAGGGATGGATTTTTAGTGCAGTTGCTTTCCATGTTCTCCTTCAAACTAACGTGCTCAGAATTAGAATCTAACTTTTTAACCTCATAGGCAGTTTACACTTTCAATTAATTTGCTGTTACCCTAAGTTTCCCACAACAGTCTTATGTTTTAATACAGTGAATTAATGCTTACGAGGCACTGAGCACACTAATTGCTTCTTCACTGATCATGTTTGGTAAGTCACTTCTGTCTGCTGCATCATCCTCTGAAGTCTTAGTGCCTTTTATGTATCATGTGAGTCACAGGAGGCCTCTGGCACCATCCGCTTTATAATTAAAATCTGCTGGGCTTCCAAATCAGCAAACCATGAGCTTAAGTAACCAGCTTTGTTAATTGCTTCACTTCCCTTTCATTGTTTTTCATTGTTTTTGGGTTTTGCATAGAGCTCAGGGAGTCTGGAGATATTGATGGCCAGACACTAGGTGTGGTGAACCTTTCTTCAAAGATCTCTTGAGCAGCTTCAGCTTGAACTAGGGGCAGGGACCCTTCACTTCCTTCAGGCTCTTCCGAGAGGCCTCCCTGTGCTTTTGCTGGGCTTCCCTGTGCTAGAGGGAGTTGAGTCTTCTCTCTTCCCCTGGGAACCTCAGTGACCAGATACCAGCTACTTAGTGCCCTCACCAAGACTTCCCAGCAGGCACGGTTCCCACCTCCTGCAGCCATTACTCAACACAGCAGCTCCGGCCTCCTGAGAACTGGGTCGTTTTTTTGAAATGGCTTTACGTACCTTGCATGAATGCATGGAACAATGGGAGACACAAAGTTGATTGTCAGTTTTTTAATTAACCAACTCATACAAATATTTGCCACCATTATTTTCATATTGTCAAGTTGTCAATTTTTATTGTAAATCCTTAAAAAAAAACCAAGAACCCAGATGGGCCTACTGATCCACCTCCTGCAGCCCTCTCTGATAGCCTTTCGCCACCTGCCATGATCCATTGATGTTTTTAAAAAAAATGAAGACAGGGAAGCTATGTGAGGGAGCAAAACAGGGAAGGAAAGCATCATAAGAGAAAGCTGGGGGCCTTTCAGAGGCTTAGTAGTAATGGGAAACAGTGAAAGTTGTGGCCTTTCAGATGCTGTGGTGTCATGGAAGATTATAAATCAGTAAATAAGCCAGTAGTTTTGAGACTGGTGCATGCGCTGATGTAAATGCTCCTCTGAACAGGAGATGTGAGAGGGACTGCTTCATAGGGAGGGCTTCATAGGAGGCCTCAGGCCCCTGTGAGGGAGTGACATTTGAGTTGAGGCTGGAAAGAAGCCTATCGAGTAGCAAGCAGGAGAGGTACCAAGGACAGGAGGGCATCAGGTAAAGCTTCCGGTGAGTGTTACAGTTCATGGAGAGAGGGGCACCACTGAACCCCCAAACCTGCCTGCTTTAAGTAGATTCTGCCTTCTGCCACATCAAGACAAGACATAAAAGCTTTAATGGAAAGGCACTTGACTACAATTAGTGTGCAATACAGGAAAGACCAAGAATCTAAATCAAACACCCAAAGTTACCTGTCCACTCGTGGGTAAAAGTCCACCCAAAAGGGACTGACCCAAAGCAAGGCTTGAAAGCCAGTCACAAGTCTAAAGCACCTTTTGGCTGGGACCCATGGAAAAGGGTCAGAAGTGGCCAGACAAGTCTGGGAGGTAAAGAGCAAAATCAAAATCAAGATAAACGCTGCCATAATCAACCTCCCCACAGGTCTCTCACCCACCTCTGTTTCAACCAGTCCAGGACCAAGAAGCAATCACAGTTTCTTTACATGTCTTTATGCTCCATGTGGCTCCCTCAGATCACCTTCTGGCTCTCCATCCTGCTTCCTTCTTCTTCAGATTCCTCTCCAGATTTCTACCTTCTCTGCTCAGCTCCACCCTTCTTCTGGGTGGGACAGGGAACCTGGAACCTCCCCTCTTCCAGGGGACCACCCCGTTACATGAGTAAAGAGGCACTGGAAGACACGTACTCTCCCCAAACTTCTTACCCTTTCTTACAAACCTTGGTCCCACAGGTAGTGATTAAAAAAAACAAAACCAAAATACCCTTTTCCTGTGAGGCCAAAGGGCAATCTCCCATAATCTTCTTCCAGGCAGCCTCGCATCCTGATGATTTTTAACTGGAGTCAGCTCTTGAATACCAGGCACCTTCATGATCAGAAGACTGAGAAACAGATCCACAGTTAACTTATCTAACCTTATGGCTAAAATTGGCAAATATTACAAGGTCCCGTAGATAGAATAAGGCAAGGAGACAGAAGTAAGAGAGGGGAAGGCTTTGTTGCGCTCCCTGGCAGGTTCACAGATCCCCAGCAGGGGCCTGAGGAGTCACCCCCAGTCTACAGGCTAGGGGTCTTTTATATGCCCCGCTCTGTCAGGCCTGGGGAGGTCCTAGAAAAGTACTGGGAGTCATGCTGCCCTTTTGGTTTGTTCAGGGTCTTTGATCCTTATCAGGGCGGCTTCCTGGGGGAGGGAACAGCAACCTAGGGCATCATCCTGACACCAGCGCCACAGCCAGTTCATCTTGATACCATGGGATATTGATACCTTTTGCCACTCTGTGGGCCTGGGTGACCTTTCAAATATCCCCTTTATCTTTTGAAATCTACTATTTGCTTTCTCCACACTTTGGGCAGGTGTGGCTAACAACTCAGGCTGAAAGACTAGGAGCATCTTTGACTCATGTGACAGTTCTTCTGGGTGTAGGGCTTAGGGCTACGTCCTGTCCCAGGTTGGGCGGGCTGGCTAGGATTCTGTGTTCTTCGGTGGACTGGGCAGGGTCATGTGGGAAGGTCCCCGGAAAGCTGACAGTGCTGCTGAGCTGCCGGCAGTTGGGTTTGGGATCATGGAGCTACATGGTGTTTCATGTCTGGGACATCGAGCCAGAGCAGTCACAGTCTCAGACCAGAGGAAAGGGGACTCTTGGGCCTCATCTCCAAAAGTAGAAGCAATTCTTAAAATGCTACCAGCTTCCATTGATAAGCTGTACAAATAGAAGTGAGACTCTTGCTTAGGGGTCTTGCAAATGTCATGGGCTCTGTCTCTGTATCTTGGAAAATAAGGGAAATCTGAGACTAATGAATATTTAAACCTGGGCAGTATTCTGAAGGAAAATCCAGCAAGGAAGAGGGGGAAAAAATCCATCCCCCCACCCCCAAAAAAGATTGCTTGGCCAAAAATGTCAGTAGTGCTAAGGTTGAGAATTTTTGATTGAAATAAGAAAAAAAATTGCATATCTTCAGCTTCCAGATTTTAAATTTAGATAAGAAAGTGTCTTAAAGTCTATGTTCTTGGTACCCACTACCCATCCTCAATATAGACACTCTGCTATCTTCAGACATCGAATCCATAAGAGAATTTCTGGTCTCGTGGATTCGGGAAGGGCACAGGCACGGAAATAAGCAGTGACACACGTGTCTAGGAAGAGAGAAAGACAGAATTGCGGGGGGTTCAGGGCACGAGTCGAATGATTTGGATTCAGTTCTCAGCTCCACCGTTTGTTGCCTCTGTGGCCTTGGGCAGCGTGTTATCTGTTCTGAACTTCAGGTTTGCTTCTCAGTAAGATGAGTACAGTTAGAATCACACTGATTAAAAATAACAATTTAGGTATTGCCAGGCATTGTCCGGCAACGAGCCTGGCTGTTTGGTCTCCAGTATCACTGAAGAGACCACCTGCAGTCATTGTAGAATTTTGCTCTGACCAGTCTTTCAAGGACCAGGTCTTGCCCTGGGGGTGGAAATTAACCATCTTTCCCTTTTCTCTATGTGTGATCATTGAAGAGCAGTGGGTGGAACGGAAAGAAACAGAAAAAGCAAAGAGCAAAGGAATCATAAGAGGACTGCACAGTTGCAGGTGAAGTGGAAAGGTCATTTCTAAAGGTTTAAACCTCTCTCTCCCCTCCCTCCCTGGCTGGTAAAGGTTTTACTCTGCATCACCTACACGCCCACCTTTGACCTGAACGGGAGCGCAGTGCTGAAGATCGCGGAGGTGAGTCCCCTGCTCCCCAGGCTGCAGTGCTGCTTGTGTCTGTGCTGTCTGCTCTTGGCTGCTGTACCCCGCTCTGGGATAAATGTGGGGTGGAGCTGAGCCCCAGCGGCAGGGCCAGGCCTTCTCTGGTGATCACTGTGGGGACTGTCACCGAGGAATTGATCTGCGGAATATGGCTGTGTTTCTCAGCCGTAGTGGCTCTGCATGCTTCTGTTTGCATAACTGGGGGCTTCCATGGGGAATAACAGTACTGGTTCTCCCTGCGTTGCTGCACCGAGGTATCCTCTGAGTATTGCTTTGTTGGTATATTTTTATTCTAAGATTAAGGAAAAGCAGCTGATGTCAGAAAATGGTTTTGAGAAACCAAGTACGAGAGTCAGGGAGAAGTGTCTGGGTTAAATGTTGTGACCATCTCCTCAGCCCCGATGGCTGCATTTGTAACTCAGTGGCAAGCCTTCTCTTCTCCATCTGCATTTGCAGCCAGGGTGATAGGTGGCTTCCAGCACCTGCTTGGCCGGTGCCTTTGGGACTGTCATTTCTCCAAAACTGTACTTTATTATGCTTGGAAATAATTTTCCTTCCTGTTCTTGAAAATGTCTTCAGGCTTCACATTTTGACAAGGGTCACTTTTGAAGACCTCAAAAAGGCAATGGTTTTCTGCATTTGGTCATTATAGAAAAGGAGAAAGTATAGCTACAGTGCTCATGAATAGTGTTTCTGGAGTGTTTTTTACAGTAATAAGTATTATTTATTGAATGTTAAGTGCTTTGGGTATACAGTTTCTTCTCACTTTTGAGGTATAAGTGAGTGAAAATAATATCTGTTTAAGCATAGAGCTTAATGTCTTGATCCATCTACATATTGTAAAATATCATGGCAACTCATTAACATACCCATTACTTCAAATAGTTAATATTATCATAGGTTGTCTATTTACTAAATTATAAATCACATGCTTTTTAAGGTATTGTGTGGCATTAAAAAGTGAAAATCATATATGAGCACACAGGACATTTTTATGTATCTATCAAAAATAAAAAGCAATTAGCTGACTTCTCACTATACTATGAATAAATTCTCAGATGAGTATGTTGATAGAACCAACACTTTTCCACTTTTTTATCAATATAGGAAATAGAATAGCTATCAGTATTTCTAAAAATTGAAATTTACAAGATAATCTATGAGTGCTCTTATATTTGCAGGTAGACTTCCTGTGTGTGTGTGTGTGTGTGTGTGTGTGTGTGTGCTGAGATCATAACAGGGCTGTACGCTGTGCACACATTTAAGCACACCACCTGGAGTTTTGACCACAGGCTTGGTGTAGCACAGCTCATCTGCAGAACTTTCTCTTACAGAGCTGACACTCTCTGCCTGTCAAATAGTAACTCTGTTCATCCCTGTCCCCGAGTTAGCCCCTGGCAGTCCCCATCCTGCTGCTTCTCTGAACTTGAGTAGCTTAAATACGTCATACAGGTTTGCTTTTAAAACGATATATGTCGTTTCTCATCACAACCAGACACAGGATTGGCGTAGAAGAAACCTGCCAGCCTTGGCCATGTGAAGAGCAAGAGGGGAAATGCAGTGTGTCACTGCCAAGCTGCCTCCCCTGCTGGTACTCCCTTGGGGACACCACATGTTGTTGGTGGGTCCAAAGTGGGAGCACTACCAGAGACCCCCAGACTACCCCTTGGGAGGAAAAGTAGGTTGCCTTTATTATCATCCTCATAGGTGTCAGGTTTTTTTGTTTTGTTTTGTTTAAAAATTTGTTTATGTATGCATATAAGAACTGGGGTACAGGCCAGAGGTGTGGTGAGTGAGAAGATTCACCAGAGACAGAGTGAGGAGCAGAACAGGCAGACTGTGGAAGTCCACTGCTGAGGGTCATAGTGGCTGGGTCAGGAGAGGTCTGTCAAGCCATGTGGATCAGCTTCCTAGCTGGGGATCAAACACATGTTGCAGTGGCTTTAGAGAGCTTCATAATGTGGTGCTTTAACACATTATGTCACCAGGGAGAGCCCTGTTTCTGGTCTTTATGATATGGACCATCTTCATGGGTATGAGATGAAATCTCCTTGTGCATACCTCATTTTGTGCATTTTCTGAGGAAGAACATTGATGATGATGTGCCTGCTAGTTATCTGTGCATAGTCTTTGGAGAAATACCTCCTCTTTTGCCCACTTTTTGATAAGCGTATTTCTTTTTGCTGAGTTCTGTGAGTTCTTTGTAGATCTTAGAGATCAGCCCCTTGTCAGGTGTATGATGTATAAATATTTTCTCCTATCCAGTAGCATGTCTTTTTGTTTCAGTGGTGCTTTGTTTTACTGCCCTATTAATGCTGAGAAAAGCTTTTTTTGTTTGATGTGGTCTCATTTATGTTTGTTTCTCTATATGATGTATTAAATCAGATAGCTTGCATACTGCTGCTGTGAAGCAGGAAATATTGTTATCCATATTTAACAGGTAAGGAAACTGATATGGAGAGAGGGTCACTAACTTTCCATAAGTCACAGATTAGGAATGGTGCAGACTGGTCGGTGTGACTGAGCATCAGTGTTTGCACCAGGTAGCAAGTGATGTCAACAGCTTGGTTGGGCAAGGGTCACCTTGCAGGTATCCTCATCTGAACCCATGTTCTTTCATGATTGATATGCTGTAGATACAATGTCAAAGCACAATTATTCTTGTTTTTTTCTTTTAAATAGTTCTTCCTATTGAGAGAATAGCTTCATTGGTAATGATGATTACAGATCAGAAGACAGGCTCACAAGAGTTTCTTATGTTCCTATATTAGGTTGTTGACCTTTTTCAGTAGCTTTTTGATTAAATTTTGACTTTTCCTCTTTGCCATCCTGCAACTAACGCATATAGAATAGTTAGAGTTGCAAAGGTGGCCTCACTTTTACATTGGTTGTTCCCATTCAAGGCTGCACATTTAGAATAATTTGGGAAGTGTTAATAAAAATACGATGCCTAGAGTTGTTTGGTTTTGGAAAGACCTGGGCATACATATTTTGTAAACAATCCTCAGAGAGTCGATTATAAAAGTCAAGTTAAGAATAACTGATGGCTGTTCTTCCCTCGCACCAAGCTTTTTTGTAAAACTATATTGAAATAAAACATTACGCTCTAACGCTGCCAAGTGAGGTCACTAATGACATAGGATTGTAGCGCCTGGGAGCTTGTTAGAATTACAGGCCCCAGCCCAGATCTACCAGTAAGAATCTGCATTGTAATAAGATCTCCCATGTGCATATGAATGCCTGTTAAAGCTTAAGAATCACTGTCACAAGTGAATATTAAATACTAATTTTAAGATGATATTTTGCACTATTTATGAACCTAAAACCTAGATGAGCGCAATTTTGATTCTCCACGATGATTAGTCTAATTCCCCTCCCCAGAGTATGGAGTCCCACATAACAAAATGTCCTCTTAATGAGCAAACTCATCTCTTTTGTTTACTTCCACCAGAGCATCCCCACATTTTCACCTTCCTTTTGGCTGACTTGGGATATATCAAACTAATTTCTTAAGTGCTTTAACTAATCTGCTACAACGCTTCCCCACTATTTCTTCTGAATAGGGCCCACTGTTCCCCACTGAAAAGAGGGTAACATGCCTCACCCCAGTCCACTCTGACAAAAGATAGGCATGGAATAGATCTATTTCTGTGAAAAGCCTAACAACAGATGACAGATATACAGATCAGTAGTTAAAATATTAGATATGAATAATATATTCCTATATGAATGATATATACATAATTTAAGAAAGGATAGTAATAGAATCATCTGAAATCATTGTTTCAGATATACAAAATAGGAATAAACATTTTCCTTACAGTCCTCATTTCAATTTCCTCAAGTTTGCAAAATAGCTTGAGCCTCTGTTTACCTCATAAATAATTGCTTAAGCAATATTTTTCTAGGGCCTCCCTGGTGGTGCCAGAGGCTAAAGCACAGCACTATGAAGCTCTCCACAGCCACTGCAGCATGAGATCGATCCCAGCCCGGGAGGTGACCCACATGGCTTGGCAGACCTCTCCTGTCTCTCCTTCGGCTCCCCTCAGCAGGATATTTCAGATAATCTACCTGTTCTGTACCCCATTCTGTCTTAGTGAATCCTCTCACCACTTGCCCCCCTGTACCTCTGGCCTGCACCCCAGTTCTTGTGTGCATAAATAATTTTTTTTTAAAAAGAAATGCTTTTCTTTCAACAAAAAGAATTAAATACAAGAGCTCTACTGCCACCAAAAAGAAAAAAAATTCTGTAGAGTCATTGAAACCCAATGAATTTGCAGGTTCTCAAGTACTTTTTGTCTGCTAATTTAGTCTTTGAAAACCTACATCCCTTTTTTAAAATAGGACATTTCAGCCTAAAACTACCACTTAGCTTCTGGAATCTTCCTTGGTTGCTTTTGAACTTGTCATAAGAAGAGTCTAACTTGGGCCCTTCCTGGTGGCACAACAGGTTAAAGCACAGCACTAAGAAGCTAAAGCCACTTCAGCATGAGTTCAATCCCCGCCCCAGAGGTGACCCACATGGCGTGGCAGACCTCTCTGGACCTGCCCGCTGCTCCCCTCAGCAGTGTGCTTTGTCAGTCTACCTGTTCTGCTCCCCACTCTGTCTCTGGTGAATCCTCTCACCCCTGTACCTCTGGCCTGTACCCCAGTTCTGTATGAATAAATATTTAAAAAAAAAGAAGTCTAACTTAACAAAAAAATCTTTATCATGTTCGAAATAGCTGGAGAAACAGCTAATAAACATATTCTAAAAGAAGCCATTAAAACCTCTGTGGAAATGTTGGGAAGGAATCCAGACTGCCACCTCCTCCTCACCCTGGTGTACATTGGCTGCTGTAAGGGCAGTGCTGAGTGCCCCTGGGGCCTGATCAGGAAGTGGCAAGTGCACTTAAGTATGGAAAATGAGGCCATTTCCCCAAAGGGCTGGGCACCATTAAGCTCTCAAGATAGACATTGGAGGGCACCTTCCTTCA